TTAAGAATTTATTTTTAGTGTATTTTAGTTATATATACACCCAGAGAAAAACCTCGATCTATATAATAAATTCATTGTTCAATTTGATAAATATATCATTACTATTGAATCAATGATATATTTATCAATATGATATTTTTTTTTCTTGTCTTGAACAATAATTATTTATAAGAATAGTTATTTTGTTCGTATTAATAAAACATTATCATAAACCCTTGATAAAATTTCTCTTTCAATTTTGATTGAGGTTTTTCTTTGGGTGTATATCAGATATTAATTATATTTATAATTTAAGTTAAAAATTTATATTTAATATTTCATTTACTTTTTTATCCAATATAAGGGTGTAACCTTTACTTTTTTAAATGCCAACCAGGCACGTAGCCAGAAAATGTTTATTGGAGGGGCCAACAATTTTGGGCCCTTGTATCATTTTCCATAATTTGTTTACCATGAAAAGCTTGTGGGGGGTCCCTATATATATAATAAAATAGTACATTATGTTAGCTTTAATTTAAGATATAGATAAAAGTGTCAGACTTTCCGGAACGTTTTAAAAATTTAAGTGAAAAAAGTTAATTTTTTTTGAAAAAGTTGTCATTTTAAATCCCCCCCGTGGGCAGGTAAAGGGTCAGATTTATAAAAAAAATATATCAAATGAAAAGTAACGATATCATATAACTATATAAAAAAGTTATGGCAATTTTTGAGGGTAATGTCTTCGACTAGATACGATTTGTGATCTTTTGATGTATTACTGAAAGAAATGGGTTCAGTGAGAGCTGAGAAAAAGTGGTAACAGACACAAAAAAAAAAACACATCTTAGTAAAACCAATACCTTCTCAGCTTCGCATCGAAGCTAAAAGAAACAAATTAAAGATATGATTTATCAAAAAATTTTTCATAGAGTATACTCTATCGAATTTTGTAATCAAATAGATTCTAATCAATGCAGATACTTGGTAGTTTGTTATCATTTGTTAGACCAGAGTTAAAAAAAATTTACCTACAACCACGTTTGGAGTAATTGCTATTCCATTTATTATTACGTCTAGAACATTATCTTTTTCAAATAACGTTTTCTATGAATATAAAAATGAAAATACAGCCATAATAATAACTGTATTACTCAATAGTAATCACAAATTAATAATAATTTCAATGTATATAAGGCCTAGCACGTTTTTAATAATTCGTAAAAATAATTGAATTTTAAATTTGGGGGGGCCGGCTCTGGGCCACATTAAATTTAAGGGGGGCCAGGCCCACCCAGGCCCACCCTTGTCTACGTGCCTGATGCCAACTCACATATTTAACTATAAAGTTAAAAATAATTATTTTTGAAAATTGAAAACTGGTCAATAATAACTCTTGACTATGATTGTAAATTGAAAAAATGATTTAATTAATTTTCATTTTAATTATGCACCATGAAAGTATATTTATAGATATGTTGTCTTAAAGCCAATTTGTATGGTATTATTTTATAAAAAATACGCTTTGGTTAATTGATATCCTAGACCAAAATATGTTAACTTAGTTATATTTAATTGGTCTAATGACATAGTTAAAAACAAAAAAAATCATTGAACATTTTTAGTTTGATTTATAACTAATTATTTAATAAATAATACTTTGAACGTTATTGGATTAATTACAGTAAATTAAAATAATTCTACTCTCTCTTTCATCGTTTCTTCTTCTACATTGATAATATTTAAAATAATTCATTTGATTTCATAATTTTGAGATCATGATTTTTTATTCGTTTTCAAAATTTTTTTTTTTTTTTTTGTGTACTATACACATGAATGTTTTTAGCTTCGATGCGAAGCTGAGAAGGTATTAATTTTACTATGATGTGTTTTTTTTCTTTTTTGTGTCTGTTACCACTTTTTCTCAGTTCTCACCGATCAGATTTCTTTCAACGATATGTCAAAAGATCACAAAATGTATATAGTCGAAGACATTACCCTCAAAAATTGAAAAAATTTCCCTTGTTCCTAGTAAATGGGGAAAATTACTAAAAAATTACAAACTTAAAAATCACTAATTTTTTTAAATTTTTTATTTTATTTTATAATTTCACGGGCAGAAGCCCTTTTTACAAATAATACAAGTACATAAATTGGGTTATTGTAACATAGAAAGATATATACTAAAAATATGCAAATTAATTATTAAACGTAAAGATAAAAAAAAATAAAAAATGAAAATGAAAAGTTAGGGTCAACATTGGCATTAGTCATAAGACGCCTAAGTGGCTCATTTTTTGCATAATCAGTTAGGCAGTGAGGGACAACAAATGGAGCATTATTTCTTGTTGCGCGCTGAGGTACTCTGAAACATATGAGGGACAACAGGCTCGGCGAATCAATATTACCATTCAATAAACCAATTAGGAAATTAATTCCAGCATTGCGCCTACGCTCAGCTAATGAGGATAGGCCAAGCAAATACGAGACAGGGGCATAATCGTGGTTTGGACAGACTATGTTGAGCGAGTAGCTGACAAAGCGTAGGAACTTTCGCTGAACTCGCTCAAGCTGTAGCGAGCCCAAGGCAGTATAAGGATCCCACACTACACTACCATATTCTAGAATAGGTCTGACTATAGAACAGAATAGCACTTTAAGTGAAAGTCCTTGCTTGAAATCTTTGGCCAAACGCATAATAAAACCTAACGCTTTAAAAGCTTTACAGCAAACATAATCAATATGAAGCATAGGATCAAGATTATAACTAAACTTAAAGCCTAGTTCTGTAATAGAGTTTAACTCACGTGAGATATTTACTGCAGTAATACTATAGTGAAACACAATAGGATTTTTTGTTCTATGATATGTAAAGACCTTGCATTTGGTTAAATTAAGTGACAATCCCATTGAGTTTGACCATTTAGAAAATCTATTAAGGTCATCTTGTAATTTCAAACAGTCATCGGTCGAGCTTACACGCATAAATAGTTTGATGTCGTCGACAAAACAAAGAAAATGACAATGGTGTAAAACTTTATGCACACAGTTTAAGAATAAGGAAAATAGAATAGGGGACAAGTGACCTCCCTGGGGGACACCAGAAGACGCTAAAAATACATTAGACTTAACGCCGAATACTTTTACCCATTGGTATCGGTCACAAATATAGGAACTAATCCAAGAAAGTAGTGGTTCACCAAAACCATATTGTCTAAGAACAGTAATAAGGGTCGTATGATCCACAGAGTCAAATGCTTTACTGAAATCATTGTATATAACATCTACTTGTAATTGATTTTGGAAAGCATTAAAAATATAGTTGGTGAACACAAGATTACAGGTGGAAGATGAGCGACCCGGGCGAAAGCCATGCTGTTCTTCCATTAAAATGTTATTAACAGGTCTTTGTATTCCATTAAGTATAAGCAATTCAAATATTTTTGATATGTGGGACTGTATAGCTATAGGGCGGTAATTTGAAATAAGACTAGGGGAGCCCGTTTTGAATACCGGTGTAATGGAACTAAGTTTAAGCATAGATGGAAATGATCTATCGTCTAAGGAACGCCTAAATAAGATCCATAGAGGATATGCCAATAATTCCCTTAGTTCATATAAAAATGTACCAGATAAGCCATCTGGACCCACAGAACCAACACCTCGTAGGTTTGATAATTTATGGTAAACATCATCAACACTGAAGTATACGTTGTTAGGAAGGTCAAAAGTGGGAATATCTAGTTGGTCAATTGAGACATTATTTTTCTTAGCACTGTAAACCGAAGAAAAGAAGTCAGAAAATAGATTTGCAAACGTAAGCTCATCGGAAGAGCTTTTAAAACTGTTAATTAAAACTGTCATAACTTTTTCAAAATTTAAAAATGTCCAAATCAATATAATTTTTTTTTATAGATATATAAGGGATTTACCTATCCTTTTGTTTATTTTTTTTATTAATCTGATACTTTACCTGCCCACAGGGGCGGATTCAAAATTACAACTTTTTCACAAATATCAACTTTTTAAACTCAATTATTGAAAGTGTTCCGGAAATACTGATACATTTCGGACTTTATTTTGTCTTCACGTTGAAACTAGTTACCTAATGCTTTTTTGTGTGAAAATTCTAGATTTTATTTTTTACATTTTTAACTTTATAATGCTTTAACTTATTGAAAAGTGTATGGATGAATACAATTTTGTTATGAGATAATATTTATATACCTCTTTCATTCGACATACTTTATCTTAATCAGGATATAAATAAGGAAATAGCAGATCATGTAGCTTTTGGAATAATCTACAATTTTTTTTATAATAGTGAATTTAATCATTTTCAGATTAAATCTACATTGGACCCAATTAGTTCACGTCCCCACTATGTCATGACTCCACTGTGCTTGGTTTTTTATTATTGTTCTTATATCTTATTCTTTAAATCTATGTATTTGTAGAGTGGGCTAAATTTTAACTTTGTTATGTTTATTACAAAATTAATTTATAATATGTAATTCATTTTAGTCATTTTTAGTTTCATTCATCACTGTTATTCATATATCCTCTTTCCCTTTAGGATAAGGTACAAAATAGATTGCGATCCAGTTTTGCCTTTGGCTTGTTTCAGCCCTTTGTGGATACTCCTCCGGGTCTTGTTAAGCTTAGCTGGTATAATATGAGTTAAGCTTACAATTTTAATAAAATAGCTTATTTAAGGGTAAAAAATGTCAAGAGTATTAAAACTTAACACTCTCATTGTCTGGGTTAAATATTAATTAGTAACAATGCACCTATTTTATTAGGTAAATTATGAGTATTAAAAGTTAAAAAACGAACATTAGATAATTGTTCAAGTGATAATTAGCCTTTTCGTAATGAAAATTCTGATATGAGACTGCTTATCTAAAATTTCACTTTATTTATTTTATAAAATATTTTCTATTTCATATTATCCTATTATTTTTTGTTATAAATAACTTAATTTAGAACTTTGGTTTGTCATTTTTTCTTTTTACAGCTAGAAATCAATTAGATTTTATCTATATTTTAATAAGTCACATTATGTTATAAATTAATAGAAAATTATTCTTTTACATTATTTTAATCGTGTTTAATTTTGCATAAATAATTTAATACAAAATAATATATTGTTTATTTTCCTATGAAGAAATAAAATTTATAATTATTAATATATACTTAAGAGACGTTTCATGTCATTTGAAATATGCCGGTTATTTTTATATTCAATGAGATTATCATGTAAACGGTCCATCGTCTTAATGTGGACTGGTTTAATGTCATATCTTACATCTTTTACATAATAATAACAACAAGCCTGCACTATTCCGGGACAATCTTTTACGTTGACATTTGGGCAAACTTTCTCAGTAACGGCTTGTCCAATTATTTTACCAAGATCTTCATGGGTAATACCTCTATCTTTCATTGAATTATCCCAATTTTTCAACTCGTTCAAAAATTCTTCAGTGAATTGATTAGAATTGTCTAGAAATAATATACTTAACTTAGTAATGTTTACCTTAATAAATTACTAGTGTTTATCATTTTTCATTTCGTCTATCGATAAAATTAACAAAAACTCACCTCGATTTTCATAATTTTATTTTTGTAATAATATGATTAAATTTAATTTTTGACTAGAAAAGTTGTATTCAATTAAATATGTATCCTCGGTAGTATAGTGGTAAGTATCCCCGCCTGTCACGAGGGAGACCGGGGTTCGATTCCCCGCCGGGGAGCCAGTACTAACGTGGTAAACACAAAAAGAAAAAAGAAAAGAAAGCACGATTCATTATACGGGTGGCGTCAAGCCGTTTAATGAAATAAAAATGTTAGCACAAAAAGAATAAAGATAAACCAAAAGTAGCAATACTACGAATTATTGAACGATCACACTCGGATGGTTCTGTCGATAGATGTCAAAAAGATGGGAACTGTGGTGGCGGTTCGGTTGGATTGGCGAACGGACGGACAAGCGATACAGGTGTCACGAAGATGACCGACTCGACGTATTATTGCGGTGGGGTATTCGACGCTAGGCATTTGTTGGACTTTACACCGCGACGATAATGCGTGTGTGTAACGGTCCGGTTTACAGTGAAGCGGTGGCTGAGAAGGAGCTGATACGACCGCGGGGTGTCAAACGTGTGACAACGCCGTGGCCGTGTCATTGTTATAAAATTATACTAGATATACAAAAAAACATATACCAACAGATATGCTTAAACTATGTTCAGGTCCGATTTAAGGGGAGGGAATACGGGAGCAAGGGCCTTCAACGCCAAAAAAAATATGACTAAATTTTAGCTTCGATGCGAAGCTGAGAAGGTATTAATTTTACTATGATGTGTTTTTTTTCTTTTTTGTGTCTGTTACCACTTTTTCTCAGTTCTCACCGATCAGATTTCTTTCAACGATATGTCAAAAGATCACAAAATGTATATAGTCGAAGACATTACCCTCAAAAATTGAAAAAATTTCCCTTGTTCCTAGTAAATGGGAAAAATTACTAAAAAATTACAAACTTAAAAATCATTAATTTTCGACATTTTTTCAAATTTTTTTACTTAAAACTGTCATAACTTTTTATATGCATTTTGCATTATTTATAGATGCATGTTGTCTTTACCTTTCATTTCATATATTTTTTTTATAAATTTTACCCTTTACCTGCCCACAGGAGGGGATTCAAAATTACAACTTTTTCAACTGAACTATTGAAAGTGTTCCGGAAATACTGATACTTATATATATATATTAAATTAAATCTAATTTAATATACTTTATAAAGGAAAAAAAAAAATTCGGACTTTATTTTGTCTTCACGTTGAAACTAGTTACCAAATGCTTTTTTGTGTGAAAATTCTAGATTTTATTTTTTACATTTTTAACTCAATAATGCTTTAACTTATTGAAAAGTGTATGGATCAATACAATTTTTTTATGAGAAACAATATTTATGTCCCTCTTTCATTCGACATACTTTATCTTAATCAGGCTATAAATAAGGAAATAGTAGATCATGTAGCTTTTGTAATAATGTACCAATTTTTTAAAATTAAACACTAGCTACAGATTTGCATCGAAGCTTTTTTTATAATAGTGATTTTAATCACTGTTAGATATCATTATACTTGACCCAACTATGCCACGTCACCACTGAGCCGCGACCCTCCTGTGCTGGGTTTTTTTTAATGTATTTTGTTTAAAAATATAAATAGGAGCTCTAAACATATATTGACATTGACAGTTAACAATAATAAAGTAAGGCACATTGTTGTGAGTTAACATTTACAAATGCAATATCGTAAAAAATCAATTAGCTACCCGTATTCATATATGTATATTAACTAATAATTTCGAAACTTCAAACTTTTAAATCTAATAAACGAATAATCTATTGTTAAAAATTTAAATACTATTTACTGTTATAATATAACCTCAAAAATTTTATTAAGTTCAAATTATGTGTTCCCATTTGAAAAAATAAAGTTGACGCCCATATTAGATATAAGGAATGAACTTAAAAATGATTACATAGCAAATAATTCAAGAACAACTAATGGTAACAAAAAAAAATTCAAAATTATTTTATTCTACGAGTAATTGAATGGTTTATGATAGAAAAAATCGCCTTTTATATTAACAATTTTATTTTGACTACTGTAAAATTGTGTTTTTATTTTAGTTATGTTACTATTCTCACCAATAGGCAATTAAATTTTTTAAATAAAATAAAATATACGAACCTCTTTTAACGGGCTTGTGTATTTTCCAGTTAAAGAAACAATTGAATAACATCTTAACAGGTGTTAATTCTTTTATTTCTATACTTGCTGATAGCATCTGTAACAGTTTATTGAATTGATATATTTGATATTATTTCATATGAATTATTTTTTAATATTATTATAGGTTTTGTATATTATATTTGAACTATTATCTATACTCAGTATAGAGTTTAATACTTACATTAGCAGACATAATCAAAACAATAATATAAATTATTTTCATTTTTAAATTTTCGTTACAAATTGAAATATAAATGCGTACTTAATGTTATTCTCAACGAATATCAATAAAGTAATAAAAATATACTTATGATTTTCTTTTGTAGTCTTTAAATGTTCGGTACTTTTGCAAATACGTTATGCATATTTTGACACGTAGTGTGTTCTTATACTCCTTTTTTACATTGTTTGTACAGTTGAAATAATATTCCCTTAATAACTTAATGACATCATGATTAAGCAAATAATAGTTAATTTTTGTAATCAATATATTTAATTTTATGAAGACATTTTAATTTATTTCGTTTCTCGTAAAAATTTTAATTTTTGTTATTTTGTATTAATTTAATACGATGAGATGACATCTTAAAAAATCACTTCCTATTAAAATTCAAAGAATTTATTACATTCTCAAACTAAAAAGACCAGTACAGTTGGGGCCCTACATAGTAGGACACTGACGACATAGTGTACTTCAGGATAAATTGAAATTTTTTATAAATCATAATTATCATAAAATTATTCGTCAAGGTTAATTATGAAGAAAGACTTAAACAAATTTTTTTAAAGCCTTTTAACGATTTTCTTCATGATCTTCTATGCATATTTGAGAAGCTGTTGGTTTACTCTGTCGTGTTTTTTTTGTGACATTATAATATAGTGTCAATAATCCTATGGTTATGATTACTATACTCTTTCTGGACCGATTTTGATTAACGGTACGTCCAAAAATCACAAAATGTAGAAGTGAACGGCACAAGTGACACTTTGGTATATTGAACTTCTTAATATAGAAAAAAAAATAATAATAATGTTTGTGAACTATACAAGGTATCCCACCATGACCTGACATTTTTAATAACTTTTGTACAAATGAATATTTTGCGTTACAATTTTTAGCATCGATGCGAAGTTTAGAAGGTAATGGTTTTGTGATGATGTACGATTTTTTTTTTGGTCTGTTCATAAAAATTTTTAGCTCTCAATGTACCGATTTTAATGATAAACACATAAGTATAATTCAATTTTAATCTAGCGTAATCGACTGTTGCCAAAAATAAAAACAATATTAAATTTTAGATATTTTTAATAATATCTCAAAATTACCATAAAAAATGGCATTTTCAAAAAATGTTAGCTTTTGAAACAATTATAGCTTTTTAAAAAAACATAAATCTTAAGTTTAAAAGTATATATTAGTAAATATAAGCTTTCTTTTGGTTTACTTTTTATAAAAATCCAATAAAAAATCTAAGTACAGAAAAGGTTTGAGACCTCCAATGCATAAAAAAGAAAAATATAATCAATAAATAGTGTTCCATCTATTTTATTATATTTGTTAAAAATTTAAATATTGATTTAACTGAAGCACTGTCAGAATAACATGAATTCAATTAGTTGTAATATAAAAATAAACTTTATCATTTTAAATAAATTTTAAAGCTGATTAAATAAAAATTTCATCCTTGAAAAAAAAATTTTCAATAAAAAAAATATGTCCTTGAGTTAATCAGAAATAATTATTAAAATCTTACTTAAAATCTAAGTAGATATATATGTGTGTGTAAGTGTGTCTTTTTTTTATTTTTATTTATGATTTAAATTTTTTTCCAATTTTTTAATTATAGAGTGAGGACAAGACTCTGTTTTCGAACATTTTAAGGAAATATTTTTGAATATATTAATTAAACAATGATACATTTTCGATAATGATTTAAATGAATGCATATATTTGTAATTTCAAGAAAAATAATATGAATAATAAATACATGAAATTTAAGTTTTATTCAATCTAGGGCATTACTAGAGTGGATTTTTAAATTAAAACAAATTGGGAAAAGTTGTTTTTTTCGTTCTTTTTAAATGACATTTTTATATATAAAATAATTTGTTATAATTAGTTGAGTAACTCAGTTACTGAAAATAATTAGCCTAAAAATTATCCATGCGTTGGAGAGTCATCATTAGATTTCCATTTTTAAATATTTTTACATCAAATTTTTCTTTTATTAGATTTAATACTTAATTTTACTAGGTAGACCAATTAAATATTTAACAATATATCCAAATATTTTTAAGAATGCTACAGGTCACTTCCTCTTAATTGGAAAATACATATATAATTAGTTTTTTAAGTATTTACTAAATTAGGCTAATGTATGCCCCACTCCAAGATGATGAACTTGAATTTTTATTCTAATTAATAACCATTAATGTCAGGGCAGGATTAAGATTTATATGATCTTTAGATAGTACTTTGAAATGGTCGCTTTCTATGGAAAATATCGCTACCAAACAAAGTGATAAGTAGAAAAAAAAACCTAATTTATGTCACTAATCATGACAGTCTAGTAAAATTTTATATGGACACCGGTCGGGTGTCATATTAAGGAGGGTATTCGCCCTTTTGCCAACTTATGACTAATTTGTTTCAATATATAAAGTAGTATTTCTATCTAGTTAAAGCTATTAGCACTATAATTTTGAAATTTTTTTCTTAACTTACGTAATAAATGAAAATGTTGCAAAAAATACAGCTGTTATAAGACAGTTTAATGTTGATATTTTTAGTTTTTATTTTTTACTAAAATAACTTTGAAAACTTAATGGTTTATTGCGAAATTGATAATATTACATACAAGCTTACTTGACTACAACTTATTATTTTTAAACATCTAATTATTAATCATAGTTCTGTAGAATATTAAAAATCATATTCAATTTTTGATGTTTTAAAAAATGTGCCTTCATTAAATTTAAAAAAAAAAAACCATTTTAGAACATATAAAACTATTAACTACCGAAAAGAAAAAATAGTATTACTTTTTTTATTTTAAAAGTTTTGTGTGAGTCATAGTTAAACAATCACTCCGTATAGACGAAAATATATAAATAAAAAATTAGTCGAACCGAATTTCTGAAGCTATTCTTTGTTTAGTAAGAATATATTAGAATTAGACTTATTATATGTAAATTTGTAATTTCCTATTTATAAATTTGCCATAACACAAACTTTCTGCTCTCCTTATTTATTTAAATGACCCTAAAAGAAGTTGGACACAATTTAATACTGTTTTATCTAGGTACACCTGTTTTAAAGCCTATCAAGATAATTTTCATAGTTTAAAAAAAAATGTGTTCGCGTTCTTAAAATAACTATTTTTCTTTGAATTACGTTATAATTATAAAATTGCAATTACTAAACAAAAAATTATGAGAAGTCTAAATGTATAATTTTAAGTTTTTTACGTTATAATAATTAGCTATATTAATTTAAATATTGCACTGTTAGTACAAGAGGGTGGTATCTTAAAAAAATTTGTTTCGAAATAATCTGCTTCAAAGTTTTATTCTTCCATATTTGTTACGCTATGTGGTATTTTACTTTTAGCATTTATATTAAGTTTAAGCCAAATTTTATGTAAATTGTTTGCATATTTAGATAGTGGTAAATATTTACAATTATATATATTTTTATGATACAGGAGAACACAAGGTAGGTGAAATGAAAAGTTCAGTGACAATAGTTGAGGACATGATAGGAAAGGTGGAAAGTTTTAAGTATTTAGGGTCAGCTTTGCAATAGAGCGGTAGTATTGACGAGGATGTAAGACACAGGATTAATCTTGGGTGGTTAAAATGGATAGAAGCGTCTGGTGTGTTATGCGGTAAAAGAATTTCAATGAGACTGAAAGGTAAATTCTATAAGACTGTAGTGAGACCAGCTATATGATATATGGGAATATAGAGCAGAGAATGAGTGTAGCAGAAATGAGAATGCTTAGATGGATGAGTGGAGTGACTAGAGAAGATAGGATAAAGATCGACCATATAAGAGGCAGTATAGGTGTAGCGTCAATTGTAGATAAGGTGAGAGAAATAGTCCTAGATGGTTTGGTCATGTTAAGATGAGAGAAGAATGGGAAGCTGTAAGAACAGTCATTGAAATGAATGTTGATGGAGAAAGAGGTAGAGAAAGACCAAAAAAGAGATGAAGGAATGCTATTGAATGCGATTTAAGCGTAGATGATTTGGGTGATCGTGTCAAAAAAGCCGTTTAGGATAAGGGTGGCCGACACCAAGTAGTTGTGATTAAGGCGAGGAAAAAGAAGAAGAAGATATATTTTTAAGCACAATTTTCATTTTCCCCACTAATCCCTATAAGATAAAATACAATTTTTTCTTTTAGAAGTTGTTAGTATTCTACCTCTAAATAATGTTATTAGTTTTGATATAGTTAATTAATTTATATGTCACTACTTTTTAGAGTGCTTATGCCGTTTATTTAGTTATACACTTATTTGCTAAATATTCCTTAACGCGTCTTAGTCTCTCAAAATCTATAAAATATTGTTTATTGTTAATCAATATATTTTCAGAATAGGAAAAGATAAATTTAGCCCCGTTATAATGTTTGTTCTATTCGCATTTTCCTAAAACCTGAGGTAAAGATGATCATTAGGCAATAGTCGAAATGAACGATACAACATATACAGGGAAATCTTTGAAATCGCGTAACACTTTAATATTTAAAATTATTGTAAAACTAATGAATTTTTTTTTTTAATTCCTACTCATCAATTTTTTTGTTTAGAATTAAGAACCAAATATAATTTTTATAACGTTATTATGACATATAATGTTATATTATTATTATAAAAATTTTTTATAACTTTAATTTTTACAATTGCTATCTGGGTTGCTTTGAATTTTGATGAAATTTAAAAAAGTTACAATTAAATGTAATTTGTGCATTGGTATAAATTATGGAATTTAAAGCGTTCTATTTCATTAAATGTTATTTGTGCGTAGTTTCATGATAATTTTTTTGAAATTTAACTAACACAGTATGTGTCAACAAAACTATATTTTATATCTATTAAATTATTGTATTAATAATTTCATTTTTAATAAACTGTGCCCCTTAGATTTCTTTAGAATTGTTTGTACAGATGATAAAATATTCTTAAATATAAAAACTTAAGAATATGTTACCAAGGTATAATTCGATCAATTCTATAATTTAGAACAATTGAAATAGCAAAAGGATTTCATTCAATTAATTTTTGTTTATGTTATGTTCCATAGATAGATGAATATATTAATAGATAGATATTATTAATTTTCGGAAATAAAATAGAGTTTGATTTATTAAAAAAACTACTTTCATTTTTTTTTTATTAATTAATGACTGTTTTTTATAAAATATAATAAATATGGAGTTGGTTTTAAAACATTTTTTATAACGGTAGTAGTGACGGCTCCAAGGTGAGGGCGCACGCTTTTAACTTGACTAACATCGTGTAGTTTAAAAATTATTATGAACGTTAAATAAGCAAAAATTTATTTTGTTCTCTAAAAAATTTCATAATATTCTGTATCCTACCTTGAATGGTAGTTTTAGAGGTAATTTTTGATAGTTGAATGGGACTAATAATTATTTTTACAAAAGATGGAAAGTATATAAAATAATATTTTGACTGACCGATAATCACTTTTTTAATGTTTCTTTTTTAAACATTAGTATTGAATTATTAAAACAAGGTGAGGGCGGGGAGTTTTTGTAAAATTCTATTTTTATAATAACGCATAGACAAGGCGAAAGAGCTGTGTAACATAGTAATATTCGTATTTTTTAAATTTAAATTATTGAATTCATACTGTCATATATAGTTAATTTGTTTAAATAAGCTTTATCTTTAAGCGAACTAAAAACCATAGCTTAAAAAAAAATTATTCCAAGAATCATCTATAACCCTTAAATTTCAAAAAACCAAATGCTTATAATAAATTAGATGTCTATATTTAAGTATTACAAATCTTATTTATAAATATTATATACATGGGTTTTATACATATAATATTTAAAAGATTTTTCTTAGTTCTTCATGTGATTTAACGATGTTTATTTAAATATGTTTTTAATACATAATTTATCTTATTATGCAATAGATATTTTATTAAATAAGGTTTTTAAATCATTTTCATTATTATTTTTAAAGGAATTATTTGAAAACCCCATGTAAAGGTAGTTTTTACAACATTGCACAATATAAGTGAAACATTCCTTATTTTTATTACATAATGAATTTGAAAAAGAATTGATTTCTTCTTTCCAGTCCTTTTTAATATTTTCAGGACTTTCAGCAATTTCTTGCCAATGTTTTAATATATTTTGAGTTTTATCATTAAATTGGTCATTTTCTGAAAAAAAAAAAAACTAAGTTTATAATTTAAAGCTATAATTTTTTTTTTTTTTGAAAAAATAATTTTAACATTTTAATTTATTACCAGAATTACACAGTAAATATTATGTACTAATACTTATTGCTGTGTTTTTTCTTTTAAAAATTTTAGTATAAAAATTCTTTTTTTTTAAATAACACATAAAATTTATTCTTAAAAAATTCAATTTCAATTTTTATATATATGCAATTTGTACCAAAAAAGAAACAATAAGAGTATTGGCTAAATTAAAATAACACATGAAAAAAAAACTTGACAAAAGAAGCCACCCATTGATGACACTTTTAAGTATACATATATTTTTATATATATTTCATACACAAATATGTATAAATATTTTTTTTTTTTAATTAAAGTAATAGATCTCTACACTATTTGCGTTTTAATCGTCTCGGATGATTACCAGGAATAATTTTTGAGGAAAGACCTTTTACCAGGGGATTTGAGTGAGAGAATAGTCGTGAGTGGAATTTTTTATAATAAGTAATTGCTGCTTCTTTCACAGTTTTAATTTTCAGGCCAGTATGGAGTGTGAAGTTGGAAATCTATGGAGGGGAGTTAGTTAGTTTTCTAAAGGTAATATTTTGAAAAGTTTGTATTCGATTTAAATTTGTTTTTTTGGCATTACCCCATAATTGGATGCCATAGTTCCAAATAGGTTTAATTAGAGAATTGTGCATTAATATTTTTGTTTCTAAGTTTGTGTATTTATTATTAATTATTTAAGTTTTAAGCATACGATGTCTGAGTATTAATTGTAGTCATTTTTCACTAGTGTGATGGGTCCATATAAGTCGGCGGTCGAGAGTTAAACCAAGATATTTTACTGATGGAGTTGAGGAAATTTGAGTGCCATAAAAAGTAATACTTGGACATTGTTCAAGCCTAAGAGTAAAGGTTGTGTGAGCTGATATAGCCTGATTAATCTTAAACCTCTAATTATTATACCAGACTTCCATTAATAAATGTGGTTTTGTAAATTATACAGGCAATAATAGGATATTTATTTGTTGATATGATTATTTTATCATCTGCATAATCTGCGTTTTCTTTCGTTTAAACATTTTGATTAGAGGAAATCAGATGTTTTTGAATTATGAATTGATATTTACACGTATTTTTTATGTCTTATTTATATTCATTAATGAAAATATATGATGAAATATGTTTCTAAAAAATTCAAAAGTGGGTCATTTTGGTTTGGGCCGACACTAATTTATGTTTATATTATTTAGTATAGTTCTATTTGATGTTAATTTATAAGAAATATTACTTTAAATAGCATTACAATTTTAATAGAAAATATTTTTGTTTATATAAATTTTTACTTACCAGTATCAATAACCTCCTGAATTACCCCTGCTTCTTTTATGCATGCATATAATGTTAACATTCTTTTTGTATATTTTATTTCCATTGTCACTGATTTCTACAACATATCAAAAACATTTTAAATATCATTTAATTAGTATTTATAAGTTTGAAAAAAATTTCTTGTTTTCTATAATAACACAAGATTACTTAACTATCCTAATCAGTTGGTAATTTATAAATTTTTCTTTTTTCCCATTGATAATTTTAAATGATTATAAGTTCATTCTAAAAATTTACTCAATTCAGAGATTTATCCTTCTTCAATAATCCCCAAAAAATATATGTAAGTCATCAGTAAGTCATGAACGGATTTTTATTGTTCTCATTTTTTGTAATAACTGATCTGTTTTTTACTTACTGAACACTCTTTATATATTTATACAAAAGAATACTTATACTTTTATCTTTTGAAAATTGAAAAAAATATTCTAAAATTATCTGTAATATTCCTATTTTTACTTAAATACATTAATGACTACAGCGATTGAAAACTACAAACATTGTATACTTTATTCATCATACGTTTCTCTTAGATTATTTTTATTTTACTTGAATGATAATAATGCTATTTTGATAAAAAATTTAAACGATATTAAAATTAAAAATTATATTTTGGATATAAATTAAACAAAATTATGTCATTTTAAATTCGAAAGGCATAGCCAAAAAAATCATAAATAGTATATTACTTACGAAAATTGATAGTAAAAAGAAAATTTTACATATATTCAAAGTCATTCTAATAAAAAAAAAAACATAAAATTAAAATTATATTCACTAATATTTCATTAGCAAATCTAAAACATAATAATTTTACAGTGATGAACGTGTTGAAGCTTTCGTGGATTGTCCTATTGCTTAAAATTTTTACGGATGTATTTATAATTTATTCATTTTTATTTAAAATTAAATAAATAATTATTTTATTTGTGAAAAAAAAAATATCTTTTATTGTGTGTCGACCAGTGTTTTAAAAACATTGTTTATAATTGCATACAAAATCGATTAGTAATAATATAATAAAAAAATAGTGTTTTGAAGTTTTCTGAACTATTTATTTCATTTGTAACTTCATACTTGATTTTGTCTAATGTTAATAAATATATAATATTGTTAAATAAATATAAAAAAAAATTTTTTTAAGTTTTTTTTTCAACTTAATTTATTAGTATTTAGTCCTTTAATAATACTGTTATTTAATTACTTGATAGTTATCCTAACTTACCTTATATTGAAAATTATTATATCCAGTGTGCCTTTGAGCTATGGATCTACTTACTTCAATTTTTAATTCTTATTTTACTTTAGCCATCAAATGATTTTTAACACATAATATATATTATATCAATGATGTAATATTAAAGAAAAATAAAGGACACTTGTTCACATATACTTAAATTGTAAACATTTCAATGCACATTTTAGCAGATAAAATATCATCCTCATAGCAGTTATGAAATATATATAAAAATATGTATATAGCAGTTATACTATATAGGTACAAAAAATACTAGAAAAATCTTGAATAAATATTTTTATGGGTTTTTACAAATTGCCATTAGATAATTCTATAGTATTCTTCGATTATTTAGGGATATTTCAGATGGTTTAGATTAAGTTTGATTCATTCGTCTCTAAGATCGTTGTAACTCATTGTGACCTAGTAGATAAGTCATAAATTATTTTATTACTATTTGGCAATCCATTATATTTGTTTATTGTATCGTAACTTTGCAGGTATTTAATGTACGATAAAATATAGTTAACATAAATTATTTTGTCAGCGACATATTGTGTTCAAATACTCAAAGCGAGCTTTTTCTGTATACATGGTTGTTTTATGTATTAATTTATTTCTAGGCAAAGGTAGATATTGCACTTTGTTTTGTTCTATTGTAACAAAACGATACTAGATACAATATAGTCAATGTTGTTGCGTCTAAAACAAATTGTACCCAATAGGCACAGAAATTGTAACCTTATGCGCTTTTCCATAAAACCATTTAATGAGAGCCCAGCCTTTCATTGTATACTAGTCAAGTTATTTTTATTTTGTCACACATCACGCTAGAGGACATAGTGTTCATTTATCTTATTGATTTTTTTAGAGAAAATGTACTAATTTTAACTGTATAAATCTTGTGTTTTTTTTGTATAAATCGAATACCATAAAATAAACTTGGAAAGTTTTAAAAATCATAAATATAATGTATAAATCTGTTTTGATAAATTTTACAATATTTGTTATATTTATCTATGTATTTCGTTTGTACAGTTTTGTACTACGTTTTAATGAAATTATTGACGATCACGATCGTATGCATAATGTAATCGTCTTGTAGTTTGTGTAAAATAACGATCTCAACAGAATGACATATTATTCGAATGATTTATTATGTTGTTTGTAAACTAATTCTTATTCCAGGTAAACACTTACATTCTTATGAATGAATTTACAAATTAAATGATGGTACAATATGACATTTAAAACTCATAGCTTATAAACAATATAGTTGTTATGTTCTTCCAACGCAACTGCATATTAAATTTCTCGAAGTAATGATATAAAATACATCCTATGTTTTTTATTGAGTTATGTCATGTAATTGTATGAAAAAAAGTCATTTTGTGATGGTAAAATATCAAAATAATTTCTTATAAATAAACAAAAATCCGTCAATATGTTACTTTTTAAAAATAAAAATATAAATATATATTTTACACTTTACTCACTTTTATAAAAATCGAACATGCTTGTAACTAAAAGTCTGTCGCCAAATATCGTCATTTCATAAACAGTTCATATTTTCACTAAAAACTATATTTGTTTTAATTTCTAAAATCATTTGTTTTACAAGAAATAAAAATCAATTTTAATATAAAATGGAGTTTTGCGGTTGATGCTTTAATGCTTATAGCTCTGTAAATAGGTTATGAACCAATATTATTACATCTTTTTTGAGTANATATATAAATATGTGTTATTAGAAATAATTCTCATAAATGATAAGTGTTAGAATTATAAAATATTATGTAATCTTAAATAGACAAAATACACATACAAGAGTTGGCACTTTCATAATTGTGTTTATAAATACTTATGTAACATAAATTAGTTAAGCGTATGAAATATTCAAAAAATCTGTTGGATTCCGACTGGGCAAAAAGCCAATAACACATTCAGTTTACACGTACATAATACAAAAACAGTAATTTACTACTCCCCGAAATTTATACGAAAAAATTCGAATTCTATTGTTACCTTGTACATTATTAATCGTATCATATATTTGTATCGAGATTTGCTAACATAATATTTCCGGAGTTTGTTGGTGATCTACGCTTTAAGTGAATATCATATTTAGCCATAAGAATGGAAATGTTTGTGCAATGGATTTAGTGGAAAACCTACACTGGCTTCGTTTCGTGTGAATTTCCTATTTCGCATTTGGTAACAAAAAATTGCAAACAACAAAAGTAAAAACATAATTAAAACAAAGCGAACTTATTTTTATCATATTATTACTCAGCACGCCATGTATGGCGACACATGACACAGAATCAAGAGACAACGACAAATATAGAGCGAAAACAATGTGTTTTGTGTATTCTTTTCAATTTATTAAAAAAAAAGGAAAAATGCGTTCAGTCTTATACATTATCACCCGAAGTAGTCTTGTTTGTTATTGTAATTGAAATGTCATGATACCTTGTGTGAGTTTTTACGGGATCTAAAAGAATTGTAATAACATAAATAGTCTTAAAATAAACGACGTCTCTTTACGTGTGCTGTTTTGATGGATTCTAGTGAATATATCTTTTCGTTAGTTTGTATAAATTAAATACACAACTGACTTATTTATCTATATCTCTTTTTCTCTTCTCTGTGACAATGCTTATATGTTTCATTTATTCTTAGTTAAGCCAAACGCAACGACTGCAGTTGTTTTATGGGTATGGTAATTAGGTGGATTCAGGAGTTCTTATGGCACGGGCTACAAGAAAAATACATTTACTCGGCTGACACCTACATCGTGTCTTTGTATTTTAGTGACTCCTTCGTTAATATTTCATTGGTAATGGTCAGCTGCCGAAGTGGTAGTTTTTTGTGAACCCTTTTATTATTGCATGGAAATGAAAGTAGTCGATTTGATGTAAAAAAAACTGTTCTTTATTCAGCGCACTTCACCGATTACAAGAGATATACTAAAATTATTGTTTGAAGACATTTATTCCTTCTTAAAGTCTATTCTTATTTTATTTACTTAGACGCTATACATTTTTTGTGTATAATTATGATTTTACAAATATTATATTTTTTTAAGACATCGTAAACTGTAAATTATTTTATTTAGGTTCTAGTAGTTCAGTTATTTTTACAGAATTCAACGTGTACCGAACAAAGAATTCCAGACAAATGATCTTCATTGATTTAATCTAACGTCCGTCTTTTTAGTTATTCTACAACTTGATATTTTATGGACTTAATTATTAGTATTTTAATAACCACGTGTTTCAACTTATTACGATTAATGACTCTCTTTGTTCAAATGGCTTAAATTAACGCATATAATGATCCAAAATCTACTATAATGCACCATAATTTACTATGGTATCTTTATCCGGGATTATTAAGTGGCTTAACGGGTCTTATAATTCTTGATAAATTGAGTTTTAATATAGTCTTGTTATTTACTGTACATAAGTAGGACGCACGGTTAAACAAACGTGGGTAAATTTGAGTAATTTGGGAGCAACCATTACCCAACATAACTTTGTGGTTAAGTAAAGCTTTCTTTATAACCTAGATATAATTTTTAAGGGTAATTTTTCATTTTCTAATATACATGTTTGAATATAGAACCGATACTGTTGCCGTAATGTCAAAACGGTTTGTTATTCAAAGTGGTCTATTTATATTGAAATACGCGATAAATAAAATCGTTTTGAAGAAACAATTGCTTAAATTTATGAACTATTTTAAACTATTATTACAGTAAAAATGTACAAATAACTGTTATGATGATACATGATGTAATAAATGGTTTATTGTGTAAATTTCATCAATTTTTATGTATTTGTTTGAAAACGTTTGCGTTATAAAAGTTATTCTATAAAAAGAACGGGTACTTATTTGTCTATTAACTGTGGTCGTTAGATAACATTGATTATTTGAGAATGATGAGACTTGATTTGAAATCAAGCAGTGTGAAAGAGATTAAAAGGAAAGCTAGTAGCTTTTAGGTTAAACTTAATAAGTAGGGAATGCTCAGTGTGCGGGTCATTAAGGGATACATAAAAGTGCGGGAAGTAAACAGAGAGATATTAGTGAATAAGGGAAACTTGAAACGAGGATTATAGTGGCTGTTCCAACGTATGTGAGATTTGGTGAAAAAGAAAACGAAGGAAAGTAATTTTGATAAATAATTTCGTTGATAAATAAATGAAACTTAAGTTGCAAAGTAAATATCTTAAGAGCTCCCCGTCAATGCTCCTTTTGAGATAACAATGTTTCTATTGTGTTTGCAAAACTATTGCTTCCTTTATTTTAACAAGATGCCAACAATATGTATTTTTACATCAGAATTAATAGTTGAGAAAATCATAACGGAACTTAATGTCGGTTATTTTGTATCAAGCCAACTTTTATATTTTATCTTTTCTTTAAAATTAAAACCANATATTTTATCTTTTTTTTAAAATAAAAACCGCAATGAAACTTTTTACTTTTATTTTGTTGCGGTATAATTTATTATTACTGAGATAGTTCTTTCTGTCAATGAATACACATAATGAATTTTTTTTTACTTGAACGTGTTTGCTACAAAGATTTATATACCTGGCTGTGTATTAAGTTATATATTATGTAACTCATACCTTTATTAGATGTTATACTCATTGTTTGCACGTGTTTAAGTCGTAAATCTTAAAGTTATTTCGAAGTCGCTAACGTGGCTTTACAAACTATAGTATCCCTAACTATTTTATAGTTTATATTTTAAAAATATTCTCTGTAAAAGACGTGTTTGAAATTTGTCCTTTAATAATAATATTCATGTTGGTACACTCTTAGATCATATCAAAAAATATGTTTTATTGTTAAAAATTTATAACATACCGGTACATGTAGACTAAGTGAGGGGTAAGTTTTTGAACCTAGTTTACTACTATACACCTAATCTATTTATTCTAATTATTTAAATGTAACTAGTTCTTAAAATAATTTTCCAAAATTAATTATCAGCTTGTTAATTTTTGCTCGTCATATCAATCTAAATCTAAAATACATAAAATTTGATTTTGTATTTTAGCACTGAAACGTCGTGTTTCAACCAAAATTAATTAAATGATGACTTGCTACTCTTTAGTCCACTTTGTCTATTTTTTACATCATTTTATAATCTCTAATGGAAAATTCATGTTCAAAGTAGTGGTAACTATAAATTATGAAGCTTTTACTTGTAGCCTTTGTTCTTAAATCAACATCAAAAAAACTAAAAAAAAAATATATTCTCTATATTTAAATATCTCTATTATATGAATAGTAAGCACTTGAAACAAATTGTTGAGCGAATTAATTTGCTATCTCGTCAATATTTTATCATTGTTTTTTTTTTAAGTATTTAAAAATATTGATCGATAATAATTTTCAATTAATTATTTATTACTACAATTTTCTGTTAATAAGTAGAACAAATATTTTGTCTCGGGTGTATCTCAAGTTTAATTTTACAGTTTTATTATTTTTTAGGAATAACTGTATTGTTCCTTATCAAACTTATAGTGTACATTAAAGTGAATTGAGCTATGCCTGTGTGATGACTTAGTACATCAATAGTTAGTTTCATTGAGGTGTCAGTAGAAAGAAATTTTATTGCATAATTTGTACTACTGATAGAAGTGTTGCAAATACTACTTATTATTAAAACTTTTTTCACAAAACGTTGTATTAACATGTGGAAACTCTTAAAGATTCCACCTCATTAAATGTAGATTCACATTTGAACACCCCGATGTCGATGATTACTCATTGTGAAAATCGTATTAATTGTGTGCTCAAGGTGTAAACTCGGTGTGTTCAATTGCATCACTTTTCGTGTCATTAAAAAGCTTTGATGGAAAATATTGTTTTGTGGGTGCTTTACGAGAGAGAGATAGAAACGTAGATTGTCTTTTGCTTAACATGTACTCGCGGCCGTAAGACTTTAATGTGGGAAAAAGGGGCAAACAGAAGACGGTAGTGTCACGTTTCTAATTGAAATTAGAAGTCCAGCAAAGCTCAACCCGTGATTTGTGGCCTTCGACCTCCCCTTTTCAAGTAGAGAGTGTCAGCTATTATAGATTGTAATAGGTATACACTGGAAAAGCTTTGAGTTAATCTCGCTACCATCGTAAAATTAAGCCACCGAGGCCATTAAGCACATTATTACTTGTTCACTCACGTAACACAATAAGGTGGCCGTACATCAAATGAAAGGTAGTTGGTTTATGTAAACTCTGGCGGAGAAAATTAAAAATTCAAGCATTCATTTTTTAAAAATCGTGTCCCCTTGAACATTCTCTCTATCACGGCCGAGGAGAATTTTATGTTTTTAGTTAATGTTTGCGTCCAATATTTTTGAAATTTATAAACGACACGCTGTGCAGTAAAAGTGACGTTTCATTTGGAAACAGATTCTCCTGCAGTTTGTACGCCTATTGTCGTGTAATTAGAACAAAACCGCGCGGCTTTCCTTTAAACGTTCTTAACCAGTCGACGTTGAGACAGATTGATTATTCGATTGAATTTAAAATTGACACAAGTCATTCGGACAGTTTTATCAGTTTAGAATAATAATATGTAGAAACCTGCGTAATTGATCGCACGGTGGCAAATGCCGTCGGTCAGGCTGCGGAGATGGACAACAGCCCTATTTCGATGTAACGATATGCGTGTCTTCTATAGCTGAAGTGGTGTTGATCGAAGCAATTATAACTGAACCGTCTGTAGTTCGACTTTATCTGACCCTAATCTGAATCGGACCGACTTTTTTCGTCCGACGTACGTCGTATGTCTACAGACTAAGTAACAATCCGGTCCCATTAGTGTTAAATTTCGGTAGAATCGCCAATGATTATATTCTAAAAAGAAAACAACCAACGTGAACAATATTCGGTCAGTATATTTACCACGCAAACGTACCACTCCTACGTTGTTAATGGACGCGAAATATTTTCACCGTTCGACAGCCAGTTGTTATAATATTAATTCCGCAAAATGTGTCGATCGATAAGATTAAATAGTATGATCGACGCAAAAACATATGTGTACTACTTTGTTACACTGCGAGTAGTGTAACGAAATTCTAAAAAAGGGTTGTGTTATTTAGTTTTCTGAACTTTATAAAGTCTCTAGACTATGAAAAATTCCCATACGTCAGTATGATATATTTAACATACGCGTTAATTTTACACATTGAATTTTACATTCTAGTATCGAAAATTAGTGCACAAATATTAAATTTTCAACGCTATTTATCAGATTTTTTCTTTAAATACTTCCAGTATATGTATATGAAAATTCGGACATTTAAGTGTGTACATCCAAATGATTTTATATTTTCTCTTAGAACACTATTATTTCTTTTGAAAATGTTAAAGGCGACAATAATATTCGTCTTGTAATATTTGTGTGCGCGTACCTTAATGTAAAACTGCTGTGAACACTTGTACTTGAGCTTTTTAATTAGAGTTTGTTACTTTGTTTTCGGAGCATTTTCCAAAGTTTAATTCCGATTACCAGCCGTCAATGCTGTTATCGTAAAGACAAAAGCTATAAAAACGTTATTGTTGGCGAAAATTAAAATACATTTTCCTAAGTATTCGGACTGGTTAATGATCGTTAACCGACGGCGATAGTAATAAAACACATTTAGTCACAGAGTACGAACATCTAGAATTTAAAAACCCTTAAAAATGCTCTAGAGAATTGGCGTTTCAAATAATTATTAACCAACATTTAGCCACTGTAAAGTCTCCAAGAGTTGCCGCGAATACGTTTTACGCCAGTTACAATTCGTAATTAAATTACACTCTCAAAGGCTGCCCCATAAAACTTTTCTTAACATCGTCTGGAGTATTCGGTCCAATAGCTTTTGCGTTACAGATTTAAATTGTTATTAAATTATCGAATTAATTCGTTTTAATGCGAGCCGCGTAACTCTTTTATTAGAACGGAGACAAAATCGTACCAAGTCTTGTAGTGACATATTAATAATAATAATTTGTAATAAGGCTGTGTAAAATTCACAATGCTACAAAGTTACGTATTTAATAAAGTTTCTATTTAATACACAAAAGTGTATCGGCGATAAGGTCTTTTGTTGCCGAGGTACTCATTTTAGTAAGTGAATGCTATTCAGCAGACGGAAGTGTTTCCGAAATCACTTTGTTTGCGCTCTTAGAAAAGAAACAAAAAAAAACCCTGAATATTATCGCGTATTGTAAGGAGTTTATTTTAAATCTCTCTAAGATGGCTATAAAAAACAACTTGTTATCGTATCTCAGAAAATTACATATACCCAATTGCAATTGGATACAATAGTCTGTTTTATAAATGCAATAATGCGCTACGAGTAGTATTACAGTTTAATTCCCAACGGTTGTGCTCCTACATTGAACACTTCACATCTTTAATATACATTAGTCTGTAGATATTTGATTGGAATATTCAGCTGGAGTAAGTATTTAGTATAAAAATTTGTTTGTAATGCTCCTAGAACAAAAATTCATCATTAATATCATCGTTCAAAATATACTTGAACTTATATATCAAATTATTTTGAACCGAATTTAATCTTTTATCAGAATAGTATTGAACATTAACCGGATATCTTCATACTTGGAAAAAAATATTAAAAATTAAACGCTACATTCGGTATATCAGGCATGTCTATTTGAGTTTTTCTAGTAGGCGGATATGTCCGATGAATACATATAACTGTTTAAAAAACAATTTTCTATCGAAAAATTGAAAAACATGAATTTTAAAAAACATTGGAAATAATCGGTTATTGCATTGGACCTTTTGTAATGATTTCTGGATCATATTAGATTAATGTGTTCCAAAATACTGAAATAAACTTTTAGTCAAAAAGGGTGAAATATATTTCTCCTAGTTTACATATTTTGTTGTGAATCACTGAAATAACTATTTACTTTCCACTTTTTCAAATCTAATCATTATTGTTTTCTTTGTTGTTCTTAAAGTTACCTCAGAATCATTTTATATTTACATACTTGAATTAATCATCTACAATTATCAATCGATTTAAATCAAATAATTGATTAATAAAAATTTGGTTAACATTTTGATAGCAATTATCATAAAAATACCAATTATTTTATTATTTTTAATTTATCATGAAACCATAACTTTAAAATTATAGTGAGCGTTTTACAGTTTGAAGACATGTATTTTTTTTTTGATTTGAACTATTTTTTTTATTTAGAAATAAAAATAAATGGATATTTAAACGGTTATCGAAATGATCATTGAATATATATAATATTATTAGTAGTTATCAATCTGTTTTTTGTGCTACATTGTGTAGACAATTTTATAAATATTGACACTTTTTTTTTATATGAAAAGATTTATTTTTTACTGTTAATTTATTAGAAATGCAAAAATAATAACTTGATTTACTTCCAAAAGACTGTTTTAAAGTAAAAAAAATGTATTTATGACGTGTATCTATTTTGTAAAATATTTAAAACAACAAATGTATCAAATGTTGGTTCTTAAAAGCAAAATCATTCTTTGATGTGCACTTTATTTTTCGGTTATGGCACATGTGCTCAAACCATAAATTCCCCGACTACAAATTTTCATTAGATTGGCTTAACAAGAAGCTCTTATGACACCAAACGTATCGTTGTTCTATTAGCACACACATGTTAACTGCCAACATACGAAAACTGCCTCGCACTCTTTCCATCAATTCTCGCTTGCCTTAGTCATTTAGCTTTTGTGTAAAACATTATGTTCATGAAAAGGATGTTCTCCGCGAAAATCTTATTACGCTCCGTCGTCACAATAATTAACTCTAGTCATAAACAAAAGTCCAAAGTTCCCAAAACGGCCGTAATACTGAAATTCGTATGTGCCCGTCAACGAGCGGTGTTTCTATGAAGTCGTTACGTTATAATTTAACGTTTTGGGAAATCGCTGGGGAGAGGTTTCACGGGAAACTGTTTCGTTTCTTCTTCCACGTGCATTTAGTGAAATTGTTCTATCTTTATACCGTAAAACAAGTTAGTAGTGTGTTTTCTCCTAAGTCAGTCGTCTGAGTCCATCAGACAATAGGTATCTCACAATCTGTTCTCGAATAGCGCGGAGTATGTTAAGATAAAAGTTTCACAAGAATTTATCTTTGAATACGAGTTTACATATTACTTTGATTAAATTTGTCCCTCGCGACTCTGACGAAATTGTTGAGAAATAAACGCATGACGCTTCGACGAGCTCATTCATTGAAGATTTCATTTAAATCAAACTTATTCTCAATAAATCTGACGAGAATTCGGAATTTAATTATGCGCCTTCTAAAAGTAAAAATATAATGTTGGTACATTTTCTAAGGCTTTTCTAAAATTTCAATCGTCGAGGCTGTTTTTCTCTGCGAATATTGTCGTGCACAACGAGTAATTTATAAAATATGACACGTTTCCCATGTATTTTTCATTATTTACCCTTCTTAATTTTCTAATTAAAATCGTATCGGTAATTTTATTTTCAGTGCGCAACGGATATTCATGTGTTCCTGTCGCTTTGGCTGAAGGACTGGACATTAAACTAAACACTGCAGTCAAACACATCCATTACGGTCCCAACGGCGTCGAAGTATCCACTTACAATCCGCGTTCTAGCAACGCTGCTGGACAAACCTACAAAGGTAAATATGTTGTTAGCTTCACTCATAGGAAATACGATCAAGGGATATTTTATGTAAACACATTGTGCCTACAATTACAGCGGGCGAATGACGTACTTAAATGTTGGTGAATTGCCAACGACGAAACACATTAAAACGTTTACCGGTGTTTTGCGACCAATAATCGAACCAACAATTGCCTGGGATTGATTGATGCGTTTAAATAACACATTTAGTATTATTTTTCGATTTTGCGCTTGAATTTCAAATGGAAAGCACTGTAAAACCATCTCAATGCAAATAAAATCAACCTATTTGTACAGCCAACATACACGAGCTTGTATTAAACGATTCGTTGGTCAATACGGCCAAATATGTCGGTCAGCCGTTTATTGTTTGCACTTCAAATGATTTTTTTACCCTCATTTATACGGGTTATCACTGAATATGCATTTAAAATCTAATAATCAATGGCCGCCGAAACGTTTAATAAATTCTGCGGTGTTTGCGCAATGATGTACTTGGCGGCAAGTTTTTAATTATAACCGAAAATACTAAACAAAAAAAAGGACTAAAGGGTTGCTTTTGCTTTGACGAGGACCCAAAAGCTACATCGGGGTTCAATAATCTTTTTTCGTGTTTTGAACGTTTTTCTTAATTACTCCCTTGTTGAAATAAATGTAAATGGCAACTTTCTTTTAAAAATAAAATCGCTTTCCGTTGTTTATAGTTGAGTTTCATTTGCCAAATTTTATATTATTTTAACAATTATATTTTGTTTTGTTTTTATAAGATTTAATTAATAAATTTCAAAGCGAATATATTATTCATTTGAAAACTTACTCTAATCGTATATTTATTGTAATATTTTTATATTGAAATATATCGAAAACTGCGACAAAATAGGTGCCGCAAACTAGTTTAGGATAAACAACAAAAAAAATGAGCCAAGTGAGGTCATCAATACCGTTACGAGGATTTTAAATATAAAAAATTTACTTTTTAACGCAATTTATATAAGATTTAATTACATAATTTTTTTGAAGTTTTTGAGTTAAAAATTTTTCAATTATTGATTAATATTTTAAATATATTTCTGAATTTTATATGTGGGTAACACTGAAAGTTATTTATATCGTATAGCTATAAAATTAAATGAGCTTGTTGCGTTTTTTAAAGGGTATCGAGTAAAATAAATAAGTATATTTGTGACACGATTCTAACTTATTCGTGTATTTTTAGGTGATGTCGTTCTCTGCACATTGCCCCTGGGAGTATTAAAACAATCGACCAATCAAAAAACTGAATCGCTTCCTAATACTATTAAATTTTCGCCGCCATTGCCCGAGTGGAAGGTTGCTGCTATTCAACGTCTTGGTTTTGGAAATTTGAATAAAGTCGTCTTGTGTTTTGATCGAATTTTTTGGGATCCCAACGGAAATTTATTTGGACACATCGGTACTACCACTTCCAGCCGAGGAGAACTGTTTTTGTTTTGGAATTTGTATCGAGCTCCCGTTCTTTTAGCTTTGGTGGCCGGCGAAGCTGCTAATGTTTTAGAAGAAGCTACGGATGATGTTATTACAGCCCGTTGTATGTTAGTATTGAGAGGTATATTTGGCACTGCAAACGTTCCAGATGTAAGTAGATTATTATTTTAAGTTTCATAAAAAAATTGTTTTTTTTTAAATTTTATTGTAATCGTTTTATTATTATATTTCGTACCATTGCATTTGAAATAATTTTTTAATACTTAAAATGGAAAAATTAAAAAAAAATGTTGTTCTACACGCTATTGTTTCTGTAGAATTAAATATAATGTATATTTCGTCTGACATAAATTAAATTTATTGTTTTTCTATATGGGTATATTTGTAACGTAAATGTGTTAATAATTGTTTTTGAATTGTCTTCTTGAAGTATGTTATTAAGAAACGAAACATATTAAAAGTAGGTTTTCGGCGTTAAAAAATTAACATTTTAAATGTAATATAAATCAACCAGCGTCATCGTAAATTACTATAGTTGTTTTTGATGTCAAATTCTTACTCTCAACTATCATATTGGGCAATCTTCCTCATTCAAAACCAACCTCATAAATCTTTGTAGTACTACTAAATTGGAAAAAATTTGTTTGTAGCATTATCTTACGATTAAATACTTGACTGGGATGTTGTATTTTAATTTACTAGCAGAACGCCAATATTCAAATAATTGTGAATGACTAAAAATCTCACTTTATCCGTTTCCATAAAAAAATGTTGTTTCGCTATTTAATTATAAATGCCAATGACACTTTTATCATCTAGTCAATCGTTTAAAGCTTTAGGAATTTATAAATAGATGACTTAATTAAATAAAATGAACGTAACCTAGAAGTTAATGTTATAATTTTACTTATAAATCTTTTTAGGAATATACATCTTTATAAATCTTGATGAGTTGTATAATTTTACACAATAGCGGGTTTTTTGAATTTTAAATGTATGAATTAATTTGATTTTTTTTTTTCGTTTAAAATAAAATTTCACGTTTAACAGAGGGTATAATTATAAGTTTTATAGAGGCTTTTACTCATAAGATCTTTTGTTGATGAAATTTTTCGGTTCAAAAATAAAATCATGAAAATTGTTAGATTTATGATTAGATTTTAATTGAAATATTGTGATTAAAAATGTTGAAATGATTTTTCAGCCTAAAGAAACTGTCGTGACACGCTGGAGATCTGATCCATGGGCTAGAGGATCTTATTCTTTTGTAGCCGTAGGCGCTTCTGGATCTGACTATGACTTACTAGCTGCTCCCGTATCTGCTACACAGTCGGATAATTCAGACGAGCCACCAGCATTGGATGGTAGTGAACGAATTTTTTTCGCAGGTAAATAAAGCGCTATATTGTTTTAAATTGATGACATTTAACAATATTTCGGTGTAAATAAAGTTAAATTAGAATATGTCAAGTTAGTATATTAGTGAAAATTCTGGTGTTCAGATAGTTGCCTTTTATGGGCAGATCCTGTTTTTTGTCAACTTATTATTCAATGATTTTACGGCTCTTTAAAAATAACAAAATGATAGTAATGATATGTAAATCCTTTTGAGTGTTATATATCCTCAAAACACTTCTTCACTGTAGAACTATAGAATAAGTAAAGTGTAAACCCAATCTCGTACGTTTCTGGTTGTAAACTCTGATATATTATTATTTATTATTATTCTTCGAGTCTACTGACACGACGTTGACGTGTTAACCGATTACTCTTGTGTAGTAATACAGTTGTCAAACAGATTAATAACCGTAACGACGAAGGGGTTGATGTGTGCGTCACCATCGTTTTTTCCAGGGAGAAATTAATTTCTTTCACATACTCTCAGAAATACCAGACGCTCTTTTATTTGTCAGCTTTCTGTAAATTAATGTGGGCTCTGAAATATGTATTAATATTACTCGACAGAGATGGAATTTACCTATTGAAGGACTCAAAATACGTTGTATTTTTTTAGGTGAGCACACCATACGAAATTATCCAGCTACGGTACACGGTGCTTTTCTAAGTGGACTTCGCGAGGGCGGTAGAATTTGCGATAAGTTACTAGGATGCCCTTATGCGGTTCCTAAATCTCCTTAATAAACGGTTTCCTTATTTCAATACGTCATACACACTATAATTTTTTCATTTTTGTTNTAAACGGTTTCCTTATTTCAATACGTCATACACACTATAATTTTTTCATTTTTGTTCATTTTCAATTATAAAAATATTTTAGCTTTAAGGTTTTGCGACAATTATCGTATTATACTTCACAAGAAGAT